AATATTAATTAAAGTCCGCCTATTGGTGGGGGCGCATGCAATAGCCCTTTATGCATATAAGATAGAGCGACATCGTTGTTATCAGTAATTTTTTATTTTTTTTCGTGTCTGCTAGTTTTTTCCTATTTGTTTCACGTATAATCTAGTTTCTAAAACTTGTTTATCCCTGGTTAAATGAAGCTACCTTTTCAGTTTTTGGCAATGAAACGCTTTGTGTATAAACAGCACGTCTTTGCCATCAAGGATGAGTTTCAAATATTTATCGGATGTAGGACAATGAAACACTACAATACAAGAGTTACCTCATAATATCATTTTTAGCTTATACTTTAAATTCATTAATTAATTATGTAAAAACATATCTATACCAATATTATAAAGAGGTAATGTTTGTAAGTAAGTAAGTTTGGATGTAGCGAGTAATCTCCGAAACTACTCATCCGATTTCAAAAATTCCTTTACCAATATTTAGAGTGTAACTTCAGGGTGGACATAGGCTATATATTATTCCGGTAAACATTCATATAAATTAAAAGATATAATATAAATTAAAGCTTTTATGTCCAACACATGGCGCTACGAGTACGACGCCCTAAGTTTGCTTTCCTGTGAGGCATTACGCTTCTCTGTAAAAATGAACTAAAGCAGATCATCTTCTATCTATCTATATAAATAAAAATGTAATGTTCGTTTGTTACTACCGATTTCTTTGTCATTTTGACACAATGCTGCATTCGAATACGCACGTGTTTTTATATAATATACGTGTCGAAATTCCCCCCACTGAAGGGAGATGGTTATGATTAAGGTATACCGTAAAGACTTGTGCTTTTATTTATACTATTTTAGATGCGGTTTTTTGCGTTTTTGATTGCGTTTTAAAAGGGTACATCAACAGAATGTATTCTAAGAAGAAATTTTTCAAAAAATTTCCCCCCACGGGGGTAATTATACATTTATACTAGATACATTTTGAGCCACAACAACGCGTGGTGGGGTCTGCTAGTAATTAATAATAAGATTAAGATATGCCATTAAATATTATTTCATCTTGCCAAATATTTCACATTTAATTAAAATTTTAATAAATAAGTCGTCAGCTTTTTTTTGTTTTTTTTTGGATTTTGTGTCATCACTTACTATAACTAAATATTAATAATGTTAATATATTCATATGTACTGTACAGTACAGAATAAGAACAAATGTAAGCAGAATGTATAGAACAAATATTTGTTTCTCATCTTCAAATAATTGTTGTTTGATTATTAATGTTTAATTGTACATTTAAGTATTCTGATTCTTAATAACAACAATATGTACTGTACTATATAAAAATTCGCCTTGCCTGTATTAATTAATTATAGATAGGCCTATATAGTTTCTTAGGGCTAATGAACAAGCTCATTATATATAATTCCAGTGTTTCTAATTAACCCAACCGAAACGCCTTTCGGCTAAACAATCTCTTTTCAATCAGATAGAAAAAATAGTGTTTGCTGACTGCGCTAACATTACAATATTCTTTAGAAGTACAAATACCGATATGACAATTATTGCATTAAAGAATGTTTGAATTAGTAAAGAATGTTTGAATTAGTAGAACTGATTAGTAGAACAGAATTAGTAGAACTGATATTAAAAATAAATTTTTTAGTTATAAAACTAGTTGATACACTCAAATAAAAGGTATTCCTATGATTAGTTGTGTGACCAAATGATTGGCACTGCGTTGGCGATGCCGCGTCAGGCTGACAACGTTGTGACCTTTTGGCCCGTTATACATAAGCGGTGGAATTCGGGAAAGAGTACACAGTTACAGAGCAGAGCAGAGCAGAAAGAATATCCTCCTAATCAAATCAAAGTTTTACGTGAAATACAGTATGTGATAATTTGTTAAGCGGAAACATATCGGCTAACGTTTGTAAATTAAGTAAATTTTAAAATGTAATCAGGAAATTGAGTGGGAAAAGTTTTCCTTTAATTAAATACTAAACAGAGGATTTTGGTAAATCGATCCAGTATAGTGTTTTTACCCTTTCTGTTGAATCTGAAATCGCCTATGTCTGGTAGTTTGATTGGTAAGGTAATAAGAAAATTAATATAATGGCGAAGCAGATGGCTTTAGTTTCTTTCCGAATTACTGGTGAGTAATTAAAAGCCAGAAATATGAATTTGTAATAGAGAAGAATTATTCGAGAGTATTAATTTATCCGATGATGGTAAATCCAAGTTATTGAGTCTATTAATTTGAAGATATGAGAGCACTATTCATTCTCCTAAAACCTGTTAGAGTATCTTTTGTATCTGACAAAATTGAAAAAACAAAATCTCAACCTGAAAAGCAAACTGTTGATGATAGATTGAAGTCTTTACAGATAATATTCTGAAGACAAATTAACAATCAATGGTAAACATGTTTTTGAAAGTGACATAGTAGACATAATTTCGTATCTAATGTGATATAGAGAAATTGCATTACCTGCTGTTGGTTTTATCGGAAGCACGAATTTTGGGACAATTTAAAGAAAATTAATAATTTTCCAGTAAAAAACCGAAAAAAATTAAACATATCTTAGGATTTAAAACAGCAAAATTTTCGAAGAGTAAATAAACGTAAGTGAACATCCAATCGAATTGTCTGTAGAAATTTCACAAATTTTTAGTGCACAATAGAATTGTTAACTTATTACTTACTATATAAAAAAAATACATTCGTATCTTTTATTTTGTTGCAATTTTAATGTATTTTAAATCTTATAAAATGCAATTGTATTAATTGTAATAAATAACTATTTTCTTAGAAATCGTACTAAAAAATTAATAAACATTATTGTACCTCGTATTTTGCAAAAAACTGTTGTAAAGTCTATTAAAATGTGAGCTATATTTTATGCGTATGAAAAATAAAACAACTTGTATCTTAATGTAAACTTTTTTTCTTACAGAATACAAACAGATAATATCAATTGTTTAAAAAAATCAAGTTTACTGATAGACGAAAATAGTATTTTATTTATCAAAAACTACGTTAAGTGGGATGTTATAAGACAAAAAACTGACTTTACTTCTGAGTTCATTTTTGAATTTTCAAGCAATTTAAACTGGGAATTAATATGGNCCGCTAAAGCTCGAAATCCGTTAATGTGTACATTACCTAGCTAATCTGCAGCTTAACTAGGGTGATCCGTTAAAGCTGCGAAAATTGTTTAATTTCTCAAATTACCTAAGTAATTTGCAATGTGTCTAGGTAATTTGCACATTAACGGCTTCCGTATCGTTAAAGTTCAAAAGTTTGTTTCTTTCACTTTCTTTCCCCACTTCTTCTTTTAACGTAGATAAATTTAAATCCTAGAATGCAAGCAAGCACCGAATTGGTGAGTAAAATCAAGAAAAGATTCTTCGCAAACCTCTTTAGCGAAGATTTAAAATATAATACGTAGTGTTTTAATAACAAACCAAAGTATGATTCCATAATTGAAGATGTAAAGCAAATAAAAGTTTCCAAGAAGAAAGAATCATCTCGAGATTATCAAATAATTCAAAGGTGTGATGTGTTGACTGTACGAGGCTGTGAAAAACTCATTGAGCCGTTGTCAGATGCGCGAGAAAGGTTTGAAAAAGTTTGTCCATGCCGGAGAATTGTTTGACATTCGATAAAAACTGAAGAAGACCTTGAAAAATTAGAAGATTCACAAGAGACTGTGATTATGAGATCACAGTCAAATCTTACTCAAGAGGACATTCCGTTATCCCCCGCTTCTACAGAATCACCTATAGAAATACAAGAATTTACCGATAGTAATCTTAAACTGCCTTCTATACCGTTGATTGATGATGCAGTCACGAAGAATATTCAGTTACCCTGCACCTCCAAGGAATCGCCTCTGCAAGTTGAAGAAGTCATCACTGAGTTACTCTCAACTTCAGCAGAATCGCCATCACAGTTTCGTACGGAGCCTGTAAAGAGCACTATACAAGACATAGTCTGTATTGTTTGCTCAAAAGCAGCATCAAGTGCTCACAAGTGTAAATCGTGTAATATGTTTGTTCACGCAGTTTGTGGTGAAGTAGATCCTAAAGAGGAAGGGTATGGTAAGAATGTATTGTGCATCATCTGTAAAAAGAATATGGATCAGAAAATACAGCGTGATGAAGCCAAGAAATGTTTAGAAAAGCAAGCAAAGAAAATGTTAGCAGTTTCTAATGCAAAGCACCCAAACGTCGATGAAGGTTTCGCTGTGAGAATTAAAGTACCCGAAGAAGACAGAGCAAAAACTGATGCACGTTCAATTTTAGCTGTGGTTCTTAGTAAAACAGAGGATGGCTTTTATAAACTTGATACTAAAACAGGTATTTTAAAACAATTGTATGCAAAATCTGAATTCAGTGTTTGCAAAGAGAGATTTTTAACGAAAGAAGATGGATGTCCCTGCTGTAGAAATATCTTTACGTCAAACAGCAATAAAACAATCCCTTGGTACTGGGCAGGGTTTCAGAAAATGTGACTGCAAATCTAAATGTACCACAAATAGGCGTGCTTGTCGCAAAAACCAATTGCTACGTAATTCAAAGTGTCACCAATCTTTAGATTGCACTAATAAGTAAGTACAATTTTATCATATGTTTTGCAAATTCATTTCCCTAATTGTAGTAATATTTTAAACCGTTTGATTTTTGTATTAAAGTTTTTTTAATTGATTGATGATTGATTCAATCAACTAATTTGTTGATTGTATTAACTTGATTCTTTAGATATTGAAAATTAAATAAATAACATTATGTTAATTTAAGCGTACAGAAACGTTGCTGTTGTTCCAGCAAAAATCTTATTTTCACTTTACCGAGTGCCTAGTAGGTAATTTGCAGATTATCTAGATAATCTGAACATTACCTAGAAAATTTTAGAAATGGAATAATTTTCGCAGCTTTAATGGATCACCCTAGTTAATCTGCAGATTAGCTAGGTAATGCGCACATTAACGGATTTCGAGCTTTAGCGGTATCATATACATATAGATCTACGTATAATAAAATTCTACATATAATAAAATTCACTGAGTTATAGTTTTGTTTGCTCGACCCTCTCTTTAGCATAATATTTAGCTTTGGCAATTTCGTATAATTCATTCATTGAAGTTACTCCCATCTTCTTTACCAAATTATAAAATATACCATTTACGTTCTTCAGTAATGCATACGGCGAGTCAAAGTCTTGTACTCTCCCTGTATCTAATACCTAGAAATTTAAAATGTCTAGTTACTAACGAGTATTTATTTTTATATTATTAAAAAAAGAATCTTACCAGAACTCTATCCGAATCGATAATTGTATGTAATCTGTGGGCTATTGTCAACACCGTACAAGATTTGAATTTTTCTCGAATTATTTTCTGTAGACAGGAATCGGTTCTTGATATAAAATAAATAAAAATAAATAATAAATAAAACAGTAGCTCCAGATTAAAATGTATCAATAACAATTCAAATTATAATAGCGAGGAGAAAGTGAAAATATATATTACTAAACCACATCAGCATGTGAGGAAATTTAAGGATAGGAAAATTGAAACACACTGCCGACATTGTAAAACCTTTGGAAGAAATGTCATATTATGTCAGAGATTGTGATTTTTTTTCTGAGCTGGAAAACTATCGAGAAAATAGCATCAAGTGGGAAAGTGCAACTTTAAGCCATTATAAGAAAATATATCCATTTGTATAAAAGTCAATCTAGTCGATGGCTCACTAGTCAGTTAGTTGATAACGTTGTTGTGTACTATCCTGCATCAAACGTTGTTGTGTACTATCCTGCATCAAGACGAAGAAAAGAAAGCTTCAGCCATGAAAATTCACGCCAAATTGGACATATATAGTTAAGAAAATCAACCTGCATCTAAATCAGATGGATAGGGTTAAATGACGATTATGGTGGTGAATGTCAGTAAATCCAATATCATAACAGGTTTCTTGACTAAAGTATAAAATCAAGTTTATTTTCATTTTAAGTAAGCTACTAATTGCAGTAAAGCAGCCATTATAATAATTATACTTGTAGAAGTAAAGATTAGTATTATTAACTATAATATAGTAATAAATGATAGACTATATGTTACTGATAAGCATTTCCACACTAGACTAAAGTTTAAAGCCACATTAGCCTAATACAAACATAATATACTTAGCGAACTTACTGCAGAAAAATTCGTTTGAAATAGGTTGAGTATTCAGTTTCATATGTAACGTTAAACTTGGAACAGCAAATAGACAATCCTGAAACAAACACTTTTGATTGATTTCAGGAAAGGCAAATCATTGCATTTCAAAAAGTGAAAAACAATTATCAGGTAATAAAATGAAAAAAAACATTTTATTCTCGAAGTATTTTAACCTCTATTTGGAAACTCCAACAACCTATAACTAGTGAAGACGAACAGGACAAAACAATTTATTTTAATGCAGCTCACATCAAACCGTAGCATCTTATAGGATGTTATTGCGAACACTCACTGAACGGCTTCTATAAAAGAGATATTTTTATATGTAAATATAATTTAATATTGATTATAATAACGTAAAACGCGATGCCTTAAGAACATTTGTACTAGAATATGTTAATTTTGACAATAAACAGACAAGAATTGTCTTCTGAAATAAAGAAAAATGTTCAACCTGGTTTGATGTCATTTAGTCTACTATTAGTAGCATTGTATCAGATAGGAAACTGGCGGAAATTGAAAGTGTTACACTTACTGAGTATAGTCGAAGACATATGAAATTTGGGATAAAGAATCTTAATCCGAAGGGTATTGAATGATCAAAAATTAAATGAAGTACATACAGTGGTATGGAAATTATGAAGACATTTGTTATGCAAAATTGCTATAGTGTTTAGTTTGTAAGTTGTGAACTGTGTTAGAAAACATGACTTTTTTGGTCCACAGGTTAGGTTCATGCTGACCTGACATCTCAAACTCCCATGCAATGTGTACCCTTAACCAGATTTCATCGCCAACTACAGGTAACGTGGTGTGCTGCTAGATATAATTGGATACATGAATGGTGTACAGTTGTTTAGGGATAAATTCCAATTCTGTTTAGGCCAATGTGATAGTCAGCATCATTTCTGCCGGCGTGCTGCAGAAGGAGCCCACCCTGCTGTAATTTCAGACTGTTACTCATGTCCAACTCTTGGCGTCATGGTTTGGGAGGCAATCAGTTACGAGAGCAGGGCCGAGTTGGTGATTGTTGAAGGCACAATGACCACCCACCAGTATGTGGACAGGGTGATCCATCCAGAAGTCATAGATTTCATGAATACCATTTAAAATGGTATTTTCCAACAGAATGATGTCCATCCTCATGTTGCTGCCATCACAAGACAGGTTTTCCAAAGTGTCGCAATCACGGATTGGCCCGCTCGTTCTCCAGATTTATCCCCTATAGAGCATGTCTGGAATGCCATGGGTAAACATTTTATATCTCATAGCCATCTAGCGCGCATTGTACAACAACTGACCTCACAAGTTGTGCAGGCATGAAGACACATATCCCAACAAGACATTCAATCACTTATTGATTCAATGCCTGCAAGAATCCAAGAGTGTATCCATGCTCAAGCTGGGCATACCACTTACTGAAACATGTACCCAACAGCAATAAAACTTTGCTTAATTCATTTCATTTTGTGTTCATTTTTTCTGGGTATGCCCTGTACATGTTCACCAAGTTTCGTGAATTTCCATCAATTTCATCTTGGTGTAACACTTTCAATTTCCACCAGTTTAGTTCATGCTTAAAACCCATGTTAGCAGATTTATTGTTATGCTTCTGTAAGCCTAAAGTCATTGCTATTATTCACTAAGTGTCAATGTACAATTGCAACTCAGCAGCAAATAAAGATCTGCTGCTAAGAGTTGCAATCATTCACAGGAAAAAATAAATTTTTTAGCAAGACAATTCTGCCCTCCATTCGTAATAAAATAACCGCGAGTGTTTTAGAGGCAATGAATTCGTTCTTTTGCTTCAGTAAACAATAATACTTTATCTTTATTTTGAAGAAAAATAATTAGATATTTTTGCACAAGTTGCATACAAATATTGTCGGCATTATATATGTGAACGTGATTATTAAGTAGTTCTTTAACAATGACAAATTATTACAGTGATAAGTTATTGTTGTAACAGTTATCAGTGATAACTGTTACAACAATGATTACATTATCAAAGAAGCATTCCCTTTTCATTGTAATATATAGCGGCTGCCCTATAAAGTATTGCGTCCATTGAACATCTTCTGCCTTGATGTCTTTATAGATATATGCCGATGTAATATACGTATTAAAAAGACTATTTTCTTCTATTAATTAATGTTTGCATGAAATAACTATGTTAAGTGATGTTTCTGAGAAGATCATTCATATAATTTTTAAAGTTATACGGTATGTAACAGTGTTTTTAACTACTGATTTTAACGCCGTAGTGACCCCGACTTTATACTTTTCATAAATGTATGGCCATATAATAGACTACAAGGAAATTTACATACAGGTCGACAGTCAGACTAGTTGAAAAATAGAGAGGTGGCAAGCAATGCCGAAATAGAAATGATACTAATTGCAAGTAGATAAACGTATGACAACTTTTTGAGAATATCCGGAAAACGTGAAATTAAACAATCGTGTTACATATAGAAATTAAAATCTCACTAAATACACTTTTCACCAACACGTGATTTGAGAATTGTACTCTTAACTTTATTGTAATACAGTATATATTAGGTATCAGCTCCCATTTACAAAATTTCTATGATGTGCTGCATGTCAAACCCATATCTACGAAGATCAACCTAATTCAGGGTTTTCACTACTGACATGAACACCACAAACATACACGATGACAGTAATTATTAAACCTTTGTTCTTCTTTTAATTTTCGTTTTTCCCACTTGCGCTAATCAAAAACAGCCCAGCTCTTTACGAACCTTCATTAATTAATGAAGTTTACAAGGTATACATATTTTGCTATTGCACAATATATTAATCTTTGGAAACTCTGAAAAGTAACATACAAGCAATAGTAAACACTTTTCAAACACCTGATCGAATAAAGTAGTCTCATAGATCTCTCGAAACGCATACTGACAGCCCAACAGCTACTTTTCATAAGAGATTTGATAAATGAAAAAACATTTAATGTTTTTTTCTATTATTACAGCTCAGTGGAAACTTTCATGGCATTGCCAAAGTGGTTTTGATTATGCAATTGTTTATGAAAACAAGGCGAATTTACCCATCACTGTAATCTGGAAGTTTCGACACAGAAATTGTACAAAAGTTAATTTAATCATATTAAGACATGCTTATTTTTGTTGGTTATGAGACTAAATTTTTTCTTATATCTTTATGATATTTTCCATACTTGACTACTCAACTCACTTTTTGTAGAAAAATCATTTTAAAATATTTGCAATGCATCATATCAAATTTTAAGTAAAATTACATATAAAATAAATTTATTATGTAGAGAAAGCGAAAGTGTTTACATACACCATATAACTTGCCATGTTGACAATGCAAGACTTCTATTACTATTTTTTATATATACATAGCACAATATGAATACAGTTTTACAAATATATGTATTCGTATGCATGGTATAACATGTACACATATTTTGAATACGTACAGTTTGACTTGTAGACACGAAAAACTTTTACTTCTTACTCATCCTCATTATGACAAACACAAAATAAGAAAAAACGAAAGATATGAAATGAGGCAAAATATAATATTAACATATCGCACTTAATATATTTAAGAAAATTCATTAGAATTTGGTTCCAAATCCCAAAGCAATTAAGTGTAAGTTTAATCATTGTGCAAATCAATCATTTTATTAGTGGCTTAATGGCAATGTACTGTAATAATCGTCATTATCACACAATCTTACTTATATCAAACTTATACCCATAGCTATTCTCTATGTAACACAAATTACAAAATAAAATAACTTATACTTGAAATTATGTAATATTTTTAATATTCTAACCTTTTATCTATATTGGACGTTGCTTCGTCCATGACAAGAATTTTATTCTGGCGAAGAATGGTTCTGGCAAGACAAATTAACTGTCTTTCCCCCACGCTGAAATTTCGCCCTCCTTCTGTTAAATGCGAATCCAATCCTCCAGGTAATTTACTAATAACTTCTTTCAATTGTACCTTTAATTCAAATATTTATAAAAATAAATATGTGTAAATTGAATTTAATAAAAAACAAGTTTTAAGAGAAAAATCTGCGAGTAAATTGAAAAATATTTATTTAATTGTAACCTCCTCTATAGCTTTCCACATCATTTCTTCAGAATATTCATTAAAAGGGTCCATATTTCTTCGAAGTGGCCCGGTGAATAACATAGGATCCTGAAAAAATATATGCATGTAGTAAATGTATTTTACAATTCGTTTTTATATTGGATAATATGAGTTACAATTACGAAAATTGGCGAAGCGGTTTCTGTCCCTAAACACAGGACTGTCGGTCCTGGGTGCGCGACGCGATCGGACAGACTTGCCACATAGAGTTATCAGGTTTTATGTATGTCTGTTAGGCCTAAATAGGGGCCATTTACTATTAGAACTTAAAAAGTCCTCCCGGAAGGCATCCCCCAGTCAGATTACTCAAGTGTTACGTGCCATAACTTAATAAAAGAAACAAACAAAGATAAATATTAAAATACGTTACTTCAAAGATCATCGTAGAGTATACACAAAATGTAATACAGCATATACACATAAACAATGTTGAGATTAACTCATTTCGCGTCTTGTATTAAAACATTTTGGGTAGGTTTGAACTTTACGAAATTTAATCTGATTGCTAAGAAATTAGTAGATTAATATGATTTCATATTCTTATTGGTATCTAATTAAGAGACCAGTTAACTGTCGTTATTGGAAATAAGTAAAATCGGTATAATGCCAAATTATGGAAATGTTTGTATTTTTGCAACATTTAATAAGTTATGTGCGAATCGAATTTTGCCAGAACTTCTGTAGAATTCGAAACAGTACATGGTTCTGCATGTTTTGATTTGTTTAATCAACTACTATCAAACAACTGATTATATTTTATCGATCGAATTGAAAACGAACATATAAACGACTTTCGCGCATGTACTCTGTCGTGGTTTTTAGATTGCATTTATTTCTAACCGTGGTGTTTTCTGCATAACATGTCTAAAGAAATTTTTGTTCACTTCATATGGAAACGTCACATTATTCATTGGACAATTATAAATGATCGACTACTTTTTACGGAGACTGTTTAAGACTTCCTTTTTTGTTTCATAGATAAACTCTTTGATGAAAATTGAACGAATCGACGAAATAATTAATACGAAAAAATCGACGATTTTTTATGTCTTTTGCCAGCTAAATTGTCAAAGCCATTCTTTTTCCACACAATATCATTTTAAAATTGTAGGCAAATTTAACAAATATATATATTTTTTGGAGTGTTTATATTAACTTAGGCATTCGCCTTTCTCTTTTAATAAAATTTTCTGTTTTATTATATGATTTTGAGCATGTACCATTGTGTGCGTTAATAAAGAAATGAATGAATGAATATGATTTTGAGCCAAAACTTTTTAAAAATATATTTTTAATATCGCAATTACATTCTGAATCGCTAACCACGATATAAGGCCTGAAATTAAAAATAAAATTATAAAAACTTACTTGGTAAAATAAAATGTGTAATGGATGTACCGGTGCATAACTGGTACAAAATATTCTTCAATTGTATGAATATACTTTTAAAAAAATTTATAATTAAACATAGCTTTGTACAGAGACGTATATAGAAATAACTTAAAATATTCTATACTTTTTATATCTTAAAACCATCCACTTAGTCAAATAGCTCCCTACCAGTGGAATCAGAGACGGTCCTGCTAGATGTGCGGCACGTGCATGTACGCGGGCTGCCGAATCCAAGTGTGCCCATACCGGTCAATGTCAAATGCCTCTTTTGTGGCATCACTAATATACCTAAAAGGACGCGACAGGGTCGTTGTATATTTTAAATGTCTCTCACCATAGCTGTAATAATCTAAATTTGTTAAACTTAATAGTCAATTGTTTTCTACTTTGGACCAGGTGTCCACGGAAATTTCCAAAATTTACAACTTTTCGGTCACTCTCATTGAACTAAAAAAATTTGTCTGTATTACGTTTAATATTACGATGAGATCAATCGGCACGATACTCGGTTAGAAATTGTTTCGGTTAAGCTTTTGTTTAACAGTAAGTAATATTTCGGCTTATTCATCAGGGTTTTATTTTGTCCCTAATTCACTAATTTCTTAATTATTTAACTACTTCTTAAGTAAATAAAAGTCGAAAAACCGGTTACTTTGTACTCGAATATTTGTAGTCTCGGGAAAAAAGTAGAGAAACAAATTTTTATGGCAAACGAATATGTAAATAGTAAATTTAAGAGAAATAAATTCTAGAGCTTTTTCTGTACTTCGTGGATCTCTCTCGTTCATTAAATTTAGTTGTAAACGATGCTGCGAATGTAACAGTTAATTTTTTAACATTATACAAGAATTGTGCACGTTTTTTCTACATATCTCTAAAGATGGGACATACGAAATCGAAATATCACTGGTTCAATATTGAAATCAGTAAGTAATATAAGACGCGAGAGCGGAATAAAATATTTTAATGGATTTTTTTAAACTCCTGTCAACAATACAGAACTATCCTAAAAATATACCAGTAAATTCTTATCAGTTGGGTTAAGTCATAAATCTACTCGCGATTCGCGTAATTGGGCCAGGGCGGCCAAATATCNAATTTTTTGAAACTTTCATGAAGCATGAGGTTCTTGCCACTAAGATATTTTAGAAAGTATATGTTCTTTTAACTTAGGCTATCAGAAATTTTCATATTTCGAATTGCTGGTTTAAATTTATTAAGAAAAAAATAATCGTGCTTCAATGTTCATAAATGTGGCCTTTTCAAAAAACGATCACATTATATTTCACAAGTTATTTCCCCTTACTTAATAATACGTTTTTTCTATTTACATTACACCTTGTTGGCTTAGCAATCTGCATCGATATAGACATGTTTTATCATAATTAACGAATTAAATTTTCGTACGGAAAAGGAAATAATAACATTTTTAACGTGAAAAAGCATAAAGGTAATTAAATACGAATTATACATATCGAATTAATTATTACTTACTTGAGGAATGATGGATATTTTACTACGAAGATCCCGAAGTCCAATATCTTTAATGTCAACACCATCGATGGTTATCGTTCCTGTTGGCTCTGTCATGCGAAATAACGCAGCAATTATAGAACTCTTTCCCGCTCCTGTTCTCCCAACGATTCCTATCTGGAATTAATTTATAATAAACACCAATTCAGGCAATAATTATGAACAATACTCTTCCAATTTGCAGATGTTTTACCTTTTCTCCGGAGCGAATATGAAATGTTAAGTTCTTTAACACAATATTTTTATCCTCGGAGTATTGCAATGAAACATTATCGAAATGAATTTCTCCTCTTTCTGGCCAATCAGATGGTGGCCGTTTATTTGGCAAACTTTCGTAGGATGCTTCCGATTTTAAATTGCAGTATTTCAGAATGCGTTTTACAGAGTTCATCTGGAAAATTTACTTTATATGAAGTAACAATTACATTATTTAAAACATAAATTATGCGTAGCATTTTATTTAATTTATTGATACAAATATTCTGTGTAAAGGGCTGGTTAACAATGGTATTACTTAGTTTTCCTTCATTTTAAATTAATTTCCATTCTTATTATACCATTATATTTTTCTACGTACTGTTATACATTAAAATTTACTTTTTTCATAAAATATCAGTTTGTAGAGTTTGTTACTTCCAAATACACTCGACCTCCCTATGACATTAGTAGATACGTTTCGCTTTTTATAAAATTGATGTTTTAGGAGACCTTGCCAATCACAGCCCGACCCGTGTAAAGTCTACGGACTTACGGCTGTTTGAAAGGTTTTCTTCCATAAAATTAATCGATTCTAGATTAATTTGACTCAACATTTCCAAAACACGTATATTGTTTAGGGGGAATAAGCCGAATAAACTATGCTATAAACAAAAAGTTGTAGGATTACTTACCGAGTGTGCACCATTCGACATCGCCATTGCTGAAGCTTGTTTTCGTCGCGGAGCATCGCATCAAATGGCGGCCGCGATTTCTAATAAGTTATTTTTCTGCGAAAACTTTGGAGACATCATTAATATAAGTAATTTTTATGGCCGCTGAATAAGAAATGTTTATTTCACAAGAAATGTATAAAATTAGTTCTGTATTAGACTTATGGTACCTAATTTACATACTGTACAGACGATAGTAAACTCAACTTACTCGCCTAAACTTACCATAGCGTGGCGCTGGACGGCGGAAAGTAGTTCGGATGCCCGATGACGTTTTACCGAATTATAGGAGTTATTTTGCCATGTTTGTACGGATACCGTCGCAATTTTTTCGCCGTCATATAGGAATTCGAGCTATAGGAACTCGTGTTATAGGATGGTCGACTGTAATATAAAATCTGCGGTACAATGGAATGTTGATTTTTCAACAAGAGTCAATGTAGATATTTGTAGATAAGGTACAATTAATAAATAAATAAAAGTAATAATTCATGTCATTGAAAAAAGTAAAAAGATAAAAAATTTGATTTTTTTTTTTAAATTTAATAATAATATAATGCACAAAAAATGCAAAAGAAAAAAAAAATCGAACGCAACAAATTTTCAAAATCTATTCAGACTGAATTATGAAATTACTCGAAATAGTAGAAAAGATACGCATAAATACAGTCGACCCCCTTTTAACGTGGGTTCCAATAACGGAGATTCCTATAACGTAGCGAAAAAATTGCAACAGTATTCGTATAAGGACGCTAAAAGAAACTCGTAAAACGTTGTCGCCGACTCGTGTCGCGACAGGATTGGTCGAATCTAGACTAATAGTGGACGAGCAGCCGAACTAATTTCCGCCGTCCAGCGCCACGCTACAGAAAGTTTAGGCGGGTAAATTGAGTTTACTATCGTCTGTACAGTATGTAAATTAGGTACCGTAAGTTTAATACAGCACTGTAATTTTATACATATCTTATTCAACATTTCTTATTTCTTAAAGAAACATTTCTTATTCAACGGCCAATAAAATTATTTATATGATTGACGTCTACAAAGTTCAACAAATTTTTCGCAGAAAAATGACTTATCAGAAATCGCGATTGCCGTTTGTGCGCTGCTCCGCGACGAAAATAAGCGACGTCAGCCCGACGCGACAATGGCGACGTCGAACGGTGCACACTCGGTAAGTAATCCTACAAATTTTTGTTTATAGCATAGTTTATACAGATTATTCCCAAAAAATTATGCGTGTTTTTTAAATGTTACGTCAAATTAGTCTAGAATTTATTAATTTTATGGAAGGTAACGTTTCAAACAGCCGTAGTCTGTAAACTTCACACGTGTCGGGCTGCGATTGGCTCATGTATTTAAGAATTCGTACAACGTGAAATTCGAATAACGTGAAACGTATCTAAGCGTAATAGGGGGGTCTACTGTATTCAAGAAACGGTAATAATTATAAGATTATAGAATGTGTATGTGTGTATGAAATTGATTTCTCTCTTTTATTTTGAATAACATCAAAATAGATATTTTCTGTAAGATCATAGTCATAAAGCCATTTAAGTTGCATTGGTTTTCAAAATATTTCCTTATTTTTTCAAACTTTTATTTTATGTTTATTCTCATACATAACAATAAATTATAAAAAATTTGGCATAAGTTGATCAATAAATAATTTTTAAAGGTATTTTTTTGTGTATATATAAAATGAACATTTAAAAGGAAATTGACAAAATCTTCTTACAATCTGAAAAGTACATTTTAAAAAAGGGTTCATTAAGTTTATAAAAAAAATCTAATATTTTTTTTCAAAAAATATACTCCTGAATAATTTTGAAACAGTCTGTTTTATTTACAATTGTCAGTCTTATATTTTTTAATAGTTAAGTTTTAAAATAAAATAAAATAACTTACTGGAATATAAATACTTAAAATAATCAAACACCTTAGTATTTCCAGCAACGAACTATTTAATAAAAATAATAACGTTTTCGACTATATTTAATAGTCTTCTTCAGTTAAGCCACTTTAAAACTAAAACGAACATAAAATAGAATGCAAGCAATACAACGGTTTAAAAATTGAAATTAATTACTACAAAATAAAACGTAAAAAACAAAATTAAATTACAATAAAATATTAAGAAAAATTAATTATGGTAAAGAATTAAATTAAATAAAGTATTAAGAAAATTAATTCAGTAAAACCATTACGTAGTATCGCCCCCTTCTCTACAAAATTCCGATGCCGAGGGCCAAAACTAACACCAAATTCGTACTGCATTGAATAGAATAGTGACTAGTATAATGTTATTTGTTTAATTATTGTAGATATAACGAATAAAATATCTAATTATTCTTAACATATTGTTTTACTATATCGCCCAGAAAATTGTTTTTTGCCTCCCCAAAATATAAATTGTTACAAATCATCCCCTCAACATGGGAAAAACGCCCACATGGGGGCAATATCGCCCCTGTTGAGAAACACTGGTATAAATAAAAAAGCATAATAAGGAGGTATTGATGATGTGCAGCTTTTCTCACTAAACTGGTTTTTATAGCTTCCTTAAAAGTGACAAAAGTTCTCTTGACTTTGATTATTTCAGAAAAGTGATGCACTACTGTACTAGTAGTATATTTTAATACATGATCATAAATTTGGAATTGTTTTTATAATTTATTTTCTGCTGAATAATATATTATGATAGAAAACTTTGATCAATTCATGAAATTAAATCATTATATTTGTTGTTGTTTGAAGACATTGGGAGATAAATTAGCATTTTGCAATTATTAAATCATTATTTTGTTTACAAGTTTCGAAGTATAATCCAAAAAAATTAATATTTTCACAATTTAGCTTTGGATTCTTTAACTTGTAAATAAATGAAAATATTTATTGGAAAGGAAACATTTTTGAACTAGGCTAATTTAATCTAGCATCAGTTGTCCAAATAGAATTTATGTAATTCAGAAATAGAATATAAAATTGATTTTTGGAATGTGATAGTTTTATAAAGTTCTTTGTTAATTTAAAATAAGTAATTTTAATTTTGATTATTTTTATTATTGTCTTTGATAATTTTGAATAAACTGTTCACTTTTATGTGAAGACACTTCACATATTTGAGAACAAATCTCAAATTCACATCTAAAAGATTTGAAGAGAATTCATTAAAATTAGTAAATGAGTTTATGATGCAACTAATGCTTCTATAGTACTGATTATATTTGATATTTAAATGTTCTTTTCAAACATTCTGAATGTAAAGCTGTTTTTTTTTTTTTTTTNTTACTATAGGCATTCTTTGATAAATGCGTTTGATAATTTTTTCGATGTTACTCTGTATAGTATAACACATTAATCAAATGTTTGCAGTATTTTTTAATGTTTTTTTGACTATTGAGTAACAGAATAAAGACATTTATAATTTTAATAATATCACTATTATCAAACCAACATAAAAAGTTCTTTATTAGGCATTATCGTCTTAATATATGTAAGATAAAATAATAAGCAAAATTTTTAAAGTGTGGTTATAAGAAAATTTTCTCTTACAAGAAGTTTATTTTTCTCGAAAAATTTCATATTGCCCAATAAAGAAATATTACCGTTCACTCGAAATTATGAATTTTAATTTAATCGAGTAAATATGTAATACCTGAAACTCCACTTCGGATGTAAATCCAATAACACTTTGAAAACCTATTATTATTAGTATTCCATAATTCAATACAAGTCCAATTTGGCTTCCTGCGCTATCTAAAACCACAAGTACATATTAAAAATTATTTATTTTATACACTGTAAACAAATATATTTACTCACCTGTATTATTTGAAACACCTAAAACAATAACAGTAATAATTAGATTTATGAAACAAATTATATGACCGTATACGGAAAGCCATCGATTTAAAGCCAGGTAAAGAAACCACGTTGAAGTGTGCTTATCCTGATATTTATTAAACATAGATTTAAATTTGCTTTCAGCATTAGATGCTCTAATTGTTGTTAGTCCGTAAAGAGATACACTCAAATGAGAAAATACTGGACTTCTCACTGTGAAAAAAAATCAATAATTTAAGTGAAGCTGTGTTTGATATAATAATTATTATTTTATTATTTTTATAAATCAACAAAACCATTTTTATCTGTGTCTAACAAAGTACTGATCGCATTTGCGTATAACTTAAAACGCAAGCAGAACTTGTCTCTGTTTATGCAAAGAGTAATTGAGAAAGATTTTATCTAAAATATGTCAAACCAAAAACCACAAAATTTTTAAAACAATGTAATAATTTCTCGCAGAAAAAAATAGCAATATGTCCTGTAGTTCATTTTAGTACGAACTCTATTTTACAACGACTACTCCTGATGATCAAAATGTTGATAAACTGCTATCAGGTGCTCTATTGGGATAAAAAAGCTATCCACGATCGAAAATACATTAAAATTGCTGAACTCTTTTGGTTTGTTGCTGACAAGATGCAACCTGTCAAACACAGCATAATGTTACTGTATGAATTTCAATTTTGTGGATAATTATATGCGTCAAATATCTTTATTACAAAAATAGAGTAAGTAGTTGCATATATTTCCTGCTGAAAAATATTTAGGTCGAAAAAACAATAAAGTATTTCAGGAATGATTTAAAATTGTGTGTGAAATAATCTGGTAGGAGATAATTAATTCCTACTTTTTTGATAAACAAAATTATATAATTCATTACTGTATAGAAATTTAAAGTTTTATTTATAAGAGGAATTAATATTAACTAAAATTCATTGAGTACTCGTGTTTAACCAAGATGCTTGGCTTAAGATATATATCATTTTTAATAATGGAAAAGCCAAAAACCGACAAATGATTTCCATAAGTTGTTTTAAATTAAAGAATAACAACTTTTTCAGTAAAACTTGTCAAAACGTAAAAAATGTCTAAATTTAAAAACTGCTTTGATGGAAATCAATGTCACAAATAATTATTTGAAGCATCTATAAAAAATTTCCAAAGTATAATTGATAATCATACAATTTGTAAAATAAAAAAACTAAATTATGTTTAGACAAACCGATTTATGTAATTTAATGAATTCCGATACAGAAAATCTGATATATATCGTTATATGTATATATATATGGGTTACAATATTTTTTACAAAATACGTTTTTTAGTGTAATAGTGATTAATAAAATTAATTACTGGAATTAACACAACTACATTTTATAAAATATTTTACACAACAGTATTGTTATCTGGTTAGTTATTATAAAAAATTTACAATATTATTTTTCTTATTTTGTAGTAATTTAAATTATTTAGCTTTATTCGCAGTGTAATTTAAACAAAGTTATGTGTTATTCAATACATCATGTATTAGACGAGTTTTTTAGTTTTGTATCTCTTGTACAATAATATGTAACCATATTGAAAAGGTTCTTAGCTGTATTTTTATTTTGATTCCCAAATATATAAGAATACATTTTCAATTATATTAACGTTTCTTCTTTAAAATAACCTAATTTATTTTTGTTAATGTTATAAAATTTATGGTTTTTTTGTATAGTTGCTAAAATCGAAAATATCTGAATTGTATAATTGCTATAATCGGAAAAAAAAAAAATATATATATATTATATATGGGTTACAATATATAATATATAAAATAAAACTATTTCCTAATAATACTGATTTCTTTTTTAGAAACACATTATATCAGTTGATTAAGAAAATTTGTTAAGTTTACCAATAGTTGAAAATAGTATTCGATGTTTCAAAAGATATATTAAATGACATGCTATATGTCAAAAAACAGACATCTCGTGATTTCATTTCTCAATTTGCAAAGAATTTAAACTAAAAATTAATAAAGAAAAAATATATATATTTACTTACTACTACATTCATCGGAAAACATATTAGACACGCAAAATCAAATTTAATTTCGAAACATTAAGTATTAGATTTGATATTAGATTTCATATTTCATATTAGACGATGAATTCATAGATGATTTTTAAAAAATTTCTTAATTAGAATATTAGAATAATTAGCAAAATTTGAAATTTTTTTGGATAATTTTGTTAAAAAGTATAGACTATATGCAAATTAAATATGAGTATAGTTTTAAAATATCAATTACAATAGAGTCCCGAAAACTCGGCACTCGATAACCCGGCAGTCCGGATAACTCGGCCAGACCCTGGCAGGGCAAAAAAACCCTTAGTTAATTAATTTTCACTACAAACAACTTTATGCCTTATAAAGTATTTTTCTGAAATCTGTCTCATCAGGTAAATTACTGTACAGTGTATTCATTATTTTTCATTTTCATGTAGTAAAGGCTCTATGCTTTAATAAAGTATGTACTTTTTCTTTGTTTAAGGGTATTTGGGCAGTTTATTCTAAGTTGTATTCTCAAGCAAACAATACATACAAGTACAGTACAGTATTTTCTGAGGAAACACTCGTACTTATTTTTTTTAACCCATTCCCGATAACCCGGCATTTTCACAAACTCAGCCATACTTTGGTCCACATTAGGCTGAGTTTTCGGGACTCTACTGTATTAAGAATACTCTACAAAAGTTAAGAGATTGACATTTAGTTTTCCGTTATCAAATACTGAACAAAGATTTTATTCATGATTTCAAAAATCATGAATAAAATCTGAATTTTCTGATGTTATATTTTAAAATATCAAAAATTATATCAGTAATATATTGCCGATAATTCACATAGTTTATTAGTGTATATGTTACCGCTAAAGCTCGGAAACTCGTTAATCTGCAGATTACCTAGCTAGTCTGCAGATTAAATAGCGTGATCCGTTAAAGTTGCTAAAATTGTTCTATTTCTCAAATTACCTAGGTAATGTGCAGAATGAGTAAAATGGTGGCTCATCTCTGATTCCAGCAAACAGAAGAAAAGAAACAGTGGGGACGCACGTTCTGTCTTAACCTAACCTATTTTAATAAATTACTATAATTATTACAGACCAAATTATTAGAATAGGTTAGGATAGGTTTCAACGTGAGTCTCCACTGTTTCCTTTCTTCTCTTTGCTAGAATCAAAAACGACCCGCCATTTTACTCACCATAGGTAACGTTATCCAATTGTGCTACTTATTAGTGCAGTCTAAAGATTGGTGACACTTTGAATTTCATAGCAATTGGTTTCTGCGACAAGCACACCTATTTGTGGTACATTTATTTGTGGCAAAGATCTTATTTTCACTTTACCGNTAAAAAACAAAGGAAAAGTACGTCCTTTATGAAGGCATAGAGCCACTACATGAAAATGAAAATTAATGAATACACTGTGTACAGTAATTTACCTGATAAGACAGACCTCAGAAAAATACTTTATGAGAGCTTTTATACTTTTATAAAGCTGTCTATAATGAAAATTAATTAACTAAGGATTTTTTCGCCCTGCCAAGGTGTGGACCAGTTATCCGGAGTGCTAAGTTATCGAGGGACGAGTTTTCGAGGTTCTACTGTATTTCTAATGTTGTCAATGATATGATGAATAATTAAATAAATTTGTAAAAGAATAAGAAGAAAGAGATTATTATATAATTCAAATTTTATAACTACTGTATATTTTTATAATTCAAAATGTAATCAGACTTTACATTATATTCCTGAACGAGTAAATTGAACAATTTCAAAAGATCGTCTTATTGGTCCTGGTCTCTCATTGAAATACAGTTACTGGAAGTTTCTGAATTTTTAGAAACTGTAATTAATATATATGTTCAAACGACCTCACCCTACATCAACGCTAACATGGCTTGATTCAATTTAATTGTGTACTTCACAAACCCAGAAATGTTTAATGACTACTAGCAAACAGTGGCTGGCACACACTTTGAATTTAATGTTTGTATGATCCAACGCTTTTACTCCTATTAACTGTTTCAGTAGATATATTAAAAGTGTTAGGTGTATGAACGCCAATATTAGAAACTGTATATCGTGAGTGGCAAAATATAAAAAAAATTGTGTTGAATGTTTAATTACAACGTCTGCTCGAAGTCTAAAATAAGCTCTTAATTTACACTGATTCAAACTATCGCTTAATTTCATTCATTCGTATATGAAACGATTATTTTCGAACACGAACCAATTATCAAAAGGTGGCAATTCGTTATAGCGCTGTACTTTCCTTAAATTTATGTTTGTTTGGTGCAATTTTCGAAAAAATATAACGTCATGAATGTCATAGGTCAGCAATTTCCAAAGTGTGCGCCACGGCTTCCTCACAGGGGTGCCGTAAAAATATTTTAAAATAATCATAATTTTACTCCCACATTTAATTCTATGTGATAAGATGTGACTTCTAGAAGACCTGGTGCAAAAGCATTGGTATCTGTACTGATAATGCTCTTTAATTTAAAAAATATTGGCTATTTCGCAAATTTTAGTTCTCAGAATTTGCCACAGGGCGCCTTGAAAAAATGTGGATTTAGCAAAGGCGCCAATAATCAAAGAAGTTTGGCAACTTCTGCCCCAGGCGATATCAAATTCGCTTGGGAAGAATTAACTGATAAATGCATGAACGAAGTGTGTGATAAAAGTTATGGATGAAGTTATTTAAGAATTCTCAACGAGAATAGTCTATCACTGTATTGTTAGGTTGATAAAATTATCATCCTAATCGATACAGCAGGACTAGGAGATGTAGACAGGCAGGACAACAAGGGGTTATTGGATGTTTCAGGTAAGAGCCTTATCAACAATAACCATTAAGAACTGGCACAACAATGAATATATGTAGAACTGGTGATTCTAAAAATGAAGAACCGAAAGATCTCTACAGATTTTCTTAGAAGACGTTTGGTAACGATAACCGAAATCGTTAATCAAATTGTAGCGAATGATCTAGAATTTGAAAGGAGTGCAAAAACAAGACCAGGAGTTTAGGATGCAATCTCTTGTTACTGACATTTGCTTAAGAAAAGAAAGAAAGCGACAAATGAAACTACATGACTTTATCGAAATAATCAAAAATTTTAGAAAAGTGAAGACGTCCATCACAAAATGTGAACTTTACATTTTTGTGTGCGTATGTTTATGTGTTTTTAACGAATATTATTTTACAAATTAATATAAAATTAACATAAAATTCAAATCTGTTTATTTTTTCTGCGTGTTTTTCTTTCTCTATTTGCTCTGTATTAAAATGATCTTGTTTAACTCTATTTCGTTCAGTACTTTGTCACTTAAAAATGTATACCCGATGCAAAGCTGGTTGTTACTGTACTGATAACTTTCTCTGTAAATAAATTAACGCTGTTTATTTAAATCAAGGATAATTCACTTTTTCATATATAATCACGGAATATCTGTAAGTATTGATTTACCCTAACATATATTTTGAAATCGACTTGAAGTAAGTGAACAGAATACAAATGATTTTTTATTCAATTGTTCTGTAAAATTTTTCATATTTTAAAATCTGTTATTGTAATCTAACTGGTTTTCTTTATGTTAGTGATAGACTGGCTGTTGTCAATTTTGGTAATAGAAAACTGGATTTAATGGTGACGGAAAAACTTCTGACATAATTAAATCTCTCTTCATAATTACAAAACTAATACATTATTGTTTCACTCTCGTTTTAAAAAAACTCTTTAACTTATGAAATTAAGTAATTGTTCATAGTGTTTTGCAATCTGACTTGGCATGATAAAATAGTGTTTTTACTGAGTGTCTTCATCTCTGTATACAGAATTTCGTCGCTATTACTCAGCACGCAAATAAGTTAAATATAAGACACTCTTCTATATTCGGAATACTTACATTTTCCTTCCAGATGTTTTATGCTTTTCAACACTCGGCTGTAAATTGTCCACAAAGCATAAAATAATATTGAAAGGACAGCAATTAATACAAGTAGATAAGGACAGACGATTGCTTGAATAACACACATGCCAACAAGGATTGAGCCTCCCTAAAATTAAAAAAATATAAATTGCTTATAAATAGTTTGAGATCTTAAAACTTTAGCTTTATAAGTAAAGTATAAAAAAATTTTTACAGGTATTTAAAAGAGTCATCTCTTTGTTCACAAATGTATACTGGTGTGTGACAAGTCTGAAATAATTGGTATTATGTAAAAGTGTTGTTTTTAGAGGTGACATGGCAATTAATAAGGAAAAAACAATTTTAATTATTTTCGCGTTAAAGACCTTATGTATGTTATGTATGACACTATTTTGTTCATTTTCCTTGAAGCTTAATAACTTCTCTGCTTTTTGTGAAAAATTTTTGAAATTTTCAAAAAGGTTTGTGTATTGAAAGAATGATGCTGCTAATGTCTAAAGTTTGAGGGAGGTGGCAGATACAAGGAGATCGTGTTTCCTACGTCTAGTAGGCTCGCAATTTAATGGAGAGTTTACTCGTTATTAGCATTTAAAACTTTATATAAATGTAATGCCTATTTACAAAATTAAAATTTTTGCTATCTTATAATTATAAAAAATATAAAAATTTTAAAACGACATATTATAACCGAACGCAAATGATGCAAGTATAGATGTTGCCGGAAAAGTTAAGTACCCGTTATTATATTTTTAGTAATCACCATACCACTTCTAAAAATAATTCGACAGCAACATAAATCCTATGGTCCAGATTTATGGTAGATTTTATATTATACTTCTTATATTAAATACAGTATTTTAGTTAGTGTTTCATAAAAATTGTTTGAGTAAAAGCACGATAAAAATTGCATTTTCTTCATAGAATCATACAAATCTATTTTTAAAAATTTGATGATAATTTATTTTTTTAAATAGATTTGTATGATTAGGGTGCAAGAAAGCATTTCTAACTACTAATAGAATGCATTTTTTCTGTGTTTACAAAAGTGCCAGTTAGCGTAGTTTTCAATGTGAAAATCAAGAAAGTTAATGCAGAATGCACTTGAGTATTTTTGTGTTTATTTTTACCATCAGCTGTACAAAGAAGTTTTACTGAACTGAGAGTGCACCGTTCGGTTTATAATTAGAAAAAATGAGATCAAAACATTTTACGACAGTTCAATGTACAGGAACGTTCAGTTTTTCGTAACTTACCGAACTACTTTATCATAATTTAATAATTGTAATTTTTTATTGTCAAAAATTTTAAATTACTGATTGAAAAACATTTGACCACGTTACTTAGCATGCGTTCAATGTATAAGTATTTTTATTTTATGATGATAAAAAATATCTTAATTTTGATAATTCCGAAGGGCAAACAAGTTTTTTCTTTTACTTTTTCTGCTCTACAGACAGTTCAGAGACTATACATCTATGTTATTCCAAAAAATTCTTGGGATTTGTTGCATTCTTCGGATTCGTTCTTTAGTCCTGCAGAAGATGTAGGTTGACACATTATAATGATTTGTTCTCCCGGTTTTCATTCAAATATTCAACTGAAGAATATACGATTAAACTATTTTCATAATTTGCCGCATGTATTTAAAAGGAACGGTTCGACTTACCAAAGTTATACTATATGTGAGATCCGGAATTTTTACTGATTATTTGTCGATTAATTGTCCCGTATTTGCCTAAAAAACGTAATTAAATTTTCCTTTAACTTAAAATGAAACCTAACGGAGAAAAAAATTTTTCCTATATGTTCGACATAAACATCCGTTAATTTCGAAACTAATCCCACATTCCAACTGCTAAATTGATAGTTAGCATGGTCCCGGGAACAACTCTGACCCATCTGCTTACCTTTTACCTCACAACAATCAATCACGTAACCATTCTCCCACGCCGATCTTATAAAAACCCCTTCCTTCCCCTTCATGGGGGAGTCGTTCCAGAGCAGGTACCAGACGAAGAAAATAAATTTAAATTAGTGTCCTTTGAAACTTTCCTAAATCAAACAGTGAAACTTTCCTAACTCAAAGATCGGAAAATTTTTTTACTCAGTGGATAACAGATCAAGAAGTATGGAACCAATTATTGTAAGCGCTCTCTCGGTCTCTCCGCGTTTTAGGAACGCGAACTAGACGTTGTACTACCCGAAACTTGCTTTAAGAAATTGTTAATTTTTCTAATGTTACATCTGGCCTCCTCGTTTACTCGTATATCGCCTGTCGTCTCACCGACGCACTCCTCCCTTCACCACTCGACCCGAAACATTAAAGCCCGTTACTGCGGGAAAAAAAGAATCCTTCCACCCATCCTGACAGTGAAAAGGTTTAACAACCTGGTGCCGGATCGGAAGACCTACCCCCCTCCCGGTGGTTCACACTATACGTTCTCTGACTACATAGTTTATCTAGCATTGTTCAGGAGAGACACAGTTGCTCTGTAGATGTTATGTTCTTATACATAATTGACAATTCTCACTGTCTTGGATTTATAAGTATTGTGCAGTGATAGCTGCAGCAAGTTTTATATGCAAACGATCATTCGAGTTTGGCAAGCAAATAAGGAAAATATAGTCCAAGATAAAGTGCAAACGATCATTCGAGTTTGGCAAGCAAATAAGGAAACTTGGCAAGCAAATAAGGAACTTGCTGAATTTCATCAAAATGAACGAAGAAACAGGTTGACAACAACAGTGAAACTGTCTACAACAATGGAAGTGCATATACCTCAAACATTCGCAGAGTTTATAATGAAAGTAGCTTACAGTGCATGTTTCATTTGTTGTATTTGACGTTTCTGAAATAAAACAACGTGTCTGAAATTCATAAACATACCTTTGTTCGTAGCCATCACTTTCGTGTTCACTACTTTTTATAATTTTATCTTACATAAATTTGAATATACAGAATTGAAGAGCAAACGGCTATCCACTTAATTTTCCATCGCGATAGATACACGAACATTAGAATTAGTTTAATGAGAGCGAAAATTATGGAAGAATACATCTATCCATGCATACCACAGAAACTCGTACAATATACCATTACTTAATACACAGGTCAACAGTGGTTTTGGTGCCCAGGTATTTTGAGCTGATTTCATATAAATTTGATGTCCTGAATTCAAATGTGGCATTAGTTATTCCTAGGATCTCTAATTGTTAAGATATGGCATTTTAGCAACATATACGTTTCAGTATCTTAAGTTAAATCCATGGATCAAGTAAAAAAACTAAACACGGAATTTTTATTATTATATTATGCAAATATTATTCCATACAAAGATAGAGGAAAAAGTCATCAATAAAACTAAACAGTTACACATTGAGGAAGCTTCATTTCCGTGACTTTCGTGAATGTATTTTAGAGCAATCCCTTTTTAAACTCTAGCAGTAATCTGCCATAATATGCGTATCCCACCGTCCTTTGTAGCGGTCCTCCTTATTTTTAATATCCTGGTAAAATCTTTTACCTTGTTCTTCACTGGTGTCTCCTAAATTTTCAGGAAAACGGTCTTAGTGACTGTGTAAATAGTGCACCTTATAACTCATATTACCCCCCAAGGAATTTGAAACTGTTAAGCATCTCGTTGACCAGTTCAACATAATTTTCAGCTTTGCATTTGCCTAGAAAATTTCTGACAACTGCAACAAATGAAGTCCCTACTTTTTGCTAAGCTTTATTCATCGAATTGACGAAGGCAAGATCGTTAATGAGTTGTCTTATTTGTGGGCTGTCAAATATTCCCGCTTTAATTTTTTCTATACTTAACTGAGGCATAAGAATTTTAGAAAGGCTATGGTGGGACATAGCACAAAAAAATTGGGAAACACTGATCTAGACACTGCACGGCTACAAACTTACCTCAACTCTAGTTGAATCATTGAACGTGAATTCTTTACCGAATGCTTACTTCATTTCGTGGATTTACCTGGAACTAACTGGACGGCAGACCAACAACGGGGAAAATATAAAGGAATCAATTCTTGCATACATGATTTAGAACTGTACAAACTGGAATTAGAGCTGCACATTTCATATAGTACTGTATATTAAAAAAAACACAGATCTAAAAAAGTAGCGCTGATAAAGAAAAACTGATTTCAAATTTGAATTCAGTGACCCAAATATAGCTAAAATCAGTTTTAAATTCCTAGGCATCATACAAAAATTTTTTCTGGGCTTGTGTTATCATTCATTTCCCACAGCAAAGCTGTTGCGGATGCTTTCCCAATGGCACACAACAAATATGCATTGTATTGTTCCAGTTGAATTAATTTTGCAGCTATTTCTTTTGTGTTGTGTCTCTTGTTTGTTTAGCAATCGGTTTCTGTTTTGTCTATAATACACTGTTTTCATGTTGTCTATTTTCTACTTATATGCAACAATATTAATAATTTTTTAAATTAAAAAAATTTGGCGACTTTCTCATTGGTCATTTGACAATGCTTGTCTGGTTGTTCCTTCTTAGTATTCTTGTTAAGTATAAAGTTTAAGTTAGTATAACTAGTTTTAAATTGGAATTAAAAGACCTATTATTTAACTAACTTAAATTTTACTGTATTCATTCTTACTCCATGTTTTTCAATTAAATTATTTTGCTTCTTACAGAGCTTGCTAGACTAGTATCTGTATTATTTTAGTAATAGTTTGTAGCCTTTTACTTTGGCTGTAAGCATTAACCTTTAGTCTGTGTAACTTTAATGTAGCTGCACTACTCATTTACGATGTATGCTACAATTCAACATTTTTTAGACTCATACGCTCGAACACCAACGATAATTGTACTAGGAACCACCTTATGTACACTGCTCAGAGGGTTTCTTTTTTTTCTATTTCCTTACATTTTTTCCCTCTCCGTTCTTTTCTTCTTTTCTTACGCCGACTAAACACTACGTATACTGTCGGTGTGCTTCGTTAACATAAAGTATTCAAAATGAACTTACCCTTATTGAAAAATAAGTAGAAAAAGGAATCAAATCGTCCATGCTACTAACATCTTTGGAAAATCGATTCAAGATTTTTCCTGGAAAACATAAATATGAAAAATATTAATTCAATTAAATAAATATGGAAAACAAATTTCGATAGAATTATAATTTATAGG